CTTTAGTTCCTTCTAACAAATGTCTCCATTCTTTCAGTGCTAAAATAATAGCAAGGAGTTCGCGATTACCCACATCATAATTCTTTTCTGCTTTGGACATTTGTTTGGAGAAGAAGCCACAAGGATGCAATGGCTTTTCAGGCGACTCTCTTTGGGATAAGACAGCACCTACCCCGATATCAGAAGCATCAACTTCAAGAATATAGGGCAGTGTGGGGATAGGGTGCTGTAAAATAGGTGCAGAAGCGAATGTAGTTTTAAGAAACTCAAAAGCCTGAAGTGCCTCGGGAGACCAGACACGAGTATTGCCTTCCTTTCTTGTCATACGGGTGATAGGCGCTACAATAGAGGAAAAACCTTTAATAAAGCGTCTATAATAATTAGAGAAACCAAGAAAACGCTGAATGGCTTTCAAACCTTGTGGAAGAGGCCATTCCATGACAGCAGAAAGCTTCTGGGGATGCATACGAAAACCTTTAGCGGAAATTAAATACCCCAAAAACTGGACTTCGGATTGGTCAAATAGACATTTTTCCAGTTTACAATAAAGACCATTAGCAAGAAGAGTCTTCAGAACTGTCGTAACATGCCTGTGATGAGTGTGTAAATCTGTAGAGTATATTAATATGTCGTCTAAGTACACAATTACAAATGTGTGAATAAAGTCTCTTAAAACGTCATTGATAAATTCTTGAAATACTGCTGGGGCATTGCATAGACCAAATGGCATAACAGTATACTCGTAATGGCCAGATCTAGTGTTGAATGCCGTTTTCCATTCGTGGTCTTTCTTAATACGTATTAAATTGTATGCACCTCTAAGATCCAATTTAGTGAATACAGTAGCATGTTTGAGTCTGTCAAATAATTCCGTGATTAAAGGTATAGGATATGCATTTTTGATGGTGATTTTATTTAGACCTCTATAATCGATACACGGTCTTAAATCACCTTCTTTCTTTGATACAAAGAAGAACCCCGCTCCAGCCGGAGAAGAGGATCTCCTAATAAACCCCTTTTCTAATGATTCCTTAATATACTCCTCCATGACACGGTTTTCTTGAACAGATAAAGGGTACACCCTGCCCTTTGGAGGTATTGTGCCAGGCAATAAATCGATAGCACAATCGTAGGGTCTGTGAGGTGGTAATTTGTCAGCCTCCCTTTTATCGAAGACAGTTTTGAGAAATAAGTACTGAGGGGGTATAACAGTGGACAAAGGAGGAGTTGTAGGAACATTAATAGAATTCAAAGGGGTGACTTCAATAGTACAGGACTCATGGCAGGCATCCCTCCATGATTTTATTTGCCCTGACTCCCAATCGAAAATGGGATTGTGAGTACGTAACCATGGGTACCCTAACACAATGTGAGAAGAGGGAGATGTGATGACCTGGAATCGAATGGTTTCAAAGTGTAAAACCCCTGTATACATGTGTAATGGTACAGTTTCATGAGTAACAATTGGAGAACTTAATGGTCTACCATCTATGGCCTCAATGGCCAAGGGTATCTCCCTTTCTCTGACGGGAATGTTATTTTTAGTAACAAACTCAGAGTCAATAAAGTTCTCAGCAGCCCCAGAATCAACCAAGGCTAATATGCATTCTGCTATACAACTCACCCCCGTATGAAGGGAAACAGGGAGAAGCAAACGATTAGGAAGCAATTTAGGAGACTTAGAGATCACACCCAAGGCCAGTCCCCTATAAGGTCTTAGGTGCGAGAGTTTTCCGGACGCAAAGGACATTCCCTTACCATATGGTCTCGCCTACCACAGTATAGGCAGAGTCCATTCCTTCTTCTAAGTAGTTTTTCAGTATCCGAGAGTTTGGCAACCCCTAATTGCATGGGTTCCTCCTCGGGTACTTTAACACTCTCAGGTTTATCAACTCTGGGGTTAATAGATGTGACCAGGCGTCTATTCTTGTTTTTGGTATAGAGCCTGTCGCGAATTCTATTATCTATATCAATGAGGTAGTCAATAAGATCCTCTAATGGGATAGGAAGCTCCCTTGCCGCTACCTCATCTAATATAGTGTCAGATAAACCTTCCATGAACGCAGTAGTTAACCCATTATTGGTCCAATCTACCTGTGAAGCAAGGGTACGAAACTGAATAGCATAATCCGCCACAGACCTAGACCCCTGTATAATCCTCATAGTATAAACCTTATTAATGCTCTTGCGGCATTCTTTGACCTCTTTGTTGTGTCAAAAGTTCTACGAAAAGCTGCAAGAAAACTATTGAAATCATGAACCATAGGTCCATTGGCCTCCCAAATAGGATTTGCCCACTCTAGTGCTTTGTCAGTAAGTTGATGCATCAAAAACCCCACTTTAGACCTATCAGTGGGAAAGGAATGAGGATACATCTCAAGGTGGAATTCTATTTGATTAATAAAACCTCTGCATGTCTTGGCTTCCCCTCCATACCTAGGAGGAGGTGTTAAATGGGGCGAAGCATTGGTTGAATTGGATACTTCGGGAGGATGAGGTGTAGGAGGGTTAGGTGCGGTTGCAGGAATGGTTCTAGACAAGAGCGTCTGGAGAGCCTGTGCTATCTGATCCATACAGGTGATCCTGCTCTACAAACCTTGCCTCGTGAGAAGCCATTTGCTGAGCCAAATCTGCGGGGTCCATGGCCCTATCGTAATGTAACGAGAATATACCCCAACACGCAGGATTCAGCTAAACAAAAGACAACACAGAGGAGAGATACGTCTACCGGACCTTAGAATGGCCGGACTCGACGTATATGAGAGGAGACAGAGTCAGGAACAATCCGAAATCAAGGGCACAGAGAGACAGCGTAAACTAGGACAAGCCGGGGTCTGGTACACAGTAAACAACAAGCCGACAACCAGAACAGATAAGGATAAAGAGAAAACGTAGTCAGAAACAAAGCCAAGGTCAATACGGAGAAACACAACTGAACACAACAAGCGCTAAAGGGAACTGATACAGAAACCACGATAGGGCAAGGAACAAAGGAAAGAAGGTGAGTATAAATACCTAAACATCTAATTTGATTGGTCCCTGTCACATCCACGCCCCCAAAAGGTAAGTGTATGGGGAGTGTGGCATGACAGGGACCAATGGGATGCCTCTTCCAATTTAGGCACCCACTGTCCCTTTAAGAGCGCGCCCGATACCCGCGGCGCGCTCTTAGAGTTAGGTGGAACACGTGACCGCTTTCCAGTCACAGCCGTCGGATGAGCCGCGCGCGGCTCGTGCAGCAGCAGGACCGCTCGCGGCTCGAACAGAGGACCCCGGCCGGCCCCTGGAAAGGGTAAGTACCGCTACACAGAGTCCTGCTGAAGAGCTCTGGCATGAGAAAAAGGCCCTGAATTTGTTCTGCACAGCACAATTAAGTTTGTGTGTGTGTGTAGGATGCAGTATGTGTGTGTGTGTGTGCAGGGCTGCCATCCGAAATTTTGGGGCTCAAGCTCTGAGCCTCTGGGGCCCGCCCCCCGAGTCCTGCCACAGAGCTCTTCCTGAGTCTGCCCACAAGGATAAAGTACTGAATGTGGTGTGTATATAGTTGATGTAGAATTAGAATGTGTGTAGTGAATGCAGAGTGAATGTATAATAGATGCAGAGTAAGTGTGTAATGGATGCTGCGTGTATAGTGGATGCAGATTTTACATTTGTGTAATGGATGTAGTGCTTGTGGGTGTGTATCAGATACAGATGAAGTGTATGTAGTGAACACAGAGTGTGTGTTTGTGTAGTGTATGTAGTGTATAGTGAATACAGAGTGTGTTTGTGTAGTGTTTGTGTGTATGAGTTGCAGTGTGTGTAGTGGATGCAGTGTCTGTGTATAGTGAATGTAGAATGTGTGTTTGTGTAGTGGATGTAGTGTGTATATAGTGAATGCAGAGTGTGTTAGTGAAGTGAATACATTGTGTGTGTTAGTGTCAGGGCTGGCCCGTCCATTGGCCTCAGTGGAGCCACGGCTCCAGGCGGCACTTCTACAGGGGCGGCATTTTGCCGCCCCTGTACTCTTTAAATTGCCTGCTATGTTGCCTGGGCCGCATATATATATATATATATATATATATATATATACAGTTCTGGGCCCCCGCTACCTTGCCCTGTGGAGAGGAGGCCCAGAAGTCCACTCTTCCCCTCCTTCAGCATTGTATCAAAACGAGAGCGTTGCCATGGTCCGGCAACAGTCCGGCATGCATTACGTGCCAAGCAGAATGTTGCCATAGCAACCCGCGGCAACACTCATGCAGTTCGCAATAGGAGAAGACAGAAGCTTCACGAGGGGAAGATCAGACCTCTGGCCCCCTCTCCACAGGATACAGCATGCTGTGCCACTGGACCACCAGGGAAACTAGTGTCCCCCTCCCTGACCACAAGTAAGAGGCAGGGAGGGGGGGAATACAATTAATTATAAATTAATTTAAAAATTGCTTACCTCTCACAGCCGCACTATACACAGACACTGCATTTACTGCACACACTACATACAGATACTGCATTTACTACACACACAACATGCACTACACACAGGCACTACATCCATTACACAAACACACTACACAAACACAGACACTGCAGCCACTGCACAAACACACATTGCACCCACTAAGTTTGCAAATAATCCCTCTTTACCCACTGGAGGAAAAGAGCATTACTTGGTAATACTTAGCTCAAAGAACGCTCTCAGAAGTTAAATGTTAAATTCCTCCCTTTCGAATAAATATTGCGTGACATAGCTGAACTATAACCAAGGCCTTGAAACTAAGGGCCAATGAACCTTAAAGCCAAGTTATACATTATAAAGTAAACAGGTTATAAAAAAAATGTCTTGCATGTATCATTCAATTACAAAAGTAAACACAATATTAAAGAGATATTGAACTTTTTAAAATTGTCTTTTATTTTATATAAGTAGATCAAAAACAAAAGATTTATAAAAAAATATGATTGAGATACACAACCCTAAACTAACATTAATTCCTACACTAACTAATAAACAAAATAACCATTAACTCCTGCTGTATACTACCCTAACTCTAACCATTAATCTCTACACTGCCGTTACACTGACACTTAACCCTTACACTACCCTAACATAACAAAGTGGAGATCACTAGAAGATTCCCCTGACACTGATTGTTCCAAATATATATACAGTACTAGATGGGGACCCATGCCCCTCTCCCTAGTTAATATATCCCTAGCTAGGATATATCCAACTTAACCTGTGTGCAATGGTAGTACTAGGAGTGTGTGGCAGACTGTCCTTTTCTTATCCCTATTTTCCCCAAAAGACTTAATAACTACTCCTAGCTCTCATTACCTACCTCTCCATGTGTAACACACAAGAGTGCATCTCCACCATGCCTGCTTTTGATTTGGGTACGTTAGCGGGATTAAGTCAAATTCGCCTATTACTCCTACTCGGCCGGCCGAGTCGGAGTAACATTCTAGGTCTAGGAGAGTGCGAATTTGAGGGAAGGTACAAGAGACTATGCTGAACAATCACTCTCTGAGAACCAGGGTGAGTGCCTCCTCTTTAGCCTGCAGGGGCTCGCAATATTTGACCAGCATGTGGCAAAATCCCTATGGAATGCTTTTCAACTAGGACTTTGATAGCAGCTGGTCAAATCTTTATCTCCATGGTGATTTGCCAATTCTTCTTGAATCCAGGCGCTATTGTGCCGAAGTGGGTACTCGGATCAGACCTTTCTGGGGACATAAAATGTGTGGGAGTTTATAACTCTTTTGGTGTTTTTTTTTCAGGTGTTTTGTGTTGGTCTCTCTGTGTCCGGGAGATAATTAGTCTAAGTGAGGGATAACTCAATTTTCTACCAGACACAGAAGCATCAGAGTGGGATCACCTATGTGTTGAATAGAGACCCCATGCTTGGGGTCCACCTATAAAATACTGTATTGTTCTCAATAAAATCAGTTGTACTTCTAGAACCATGTGATTACTGGGACAAAGGACTATATTCATTAGCCAGCACTTCTTGCAGCTAAGAGGGGATACCAGAGGAGACATCCAGTCGGGATACTGGAGCTCTGCTACAAAGTGCCTATTACAATGATATGTTATTACAATGATACATTTTTATCCCTGCTTCTGGATCAGTGTAAATTAACTCATTGTTTGATTAAAGCTAAAGATCATCAAAATCAGGTATTTTTGTGCGAGTGTTGCTTACATTTTTAACTATAAAATAGCTGTCAATTAAGAAAGTTTGATTATCTTTGCTTTCTTTAAAGTAGAAAAATATGGTGGATATAACAAAAAAAAAAAAAAAGAAAAGAAAACATTTTGCTGACATCTTAGTGACATTTGTTGTATGTTTATGTTGCCAATTCTAGCTTGTGGCCAAGCCACCCAGCTCTCGGTATGTCCAATGTCTCATGCATGGTGCTACGGCTATACTTTATTATGCTGTATTTGTGTCAGGATTAAATCCTGACAAACAAGAATTTTGTTCCTTTTATTTCTATTCCTTTAAAACAAGTTCCTGCTCTGAATAATTTCTACCACTAGTGGCCTCACTTGCCTCTAGTTCTGAATACTCACTTGCTTATCTTTGATTACTTCAGCTACAAAAGGCTACACCCAACTAACCTCATGGACTTTACATTGAAGTTGGTGATTTACCTGAAACACTTTATATCCTGGCTCCTGTGAACCTGCTTCAGACTTACCTTCAAACCGGCTCCATACCAACCTGCTCCAGACTTACCTTCAAACCTGCTCCTAACAATAACCTGCTCCTCCCTTATGTATACTTCAAACCAGCCTTCCACTGTAACCAGCCTTCCACTGTAACCAGCCTTCCACTGTTACCAGCCTTCCACTGTTACCAGCCTTCCTCTGTAACCAGCCTTCCACTGTAACCAGCCTGGCTCTGTAACCAGCCTTCCACTGTTACCAGCCTTCCACTTATACCAGCCTGCCTCTGTAACCAGCCTTCCACTGTTACCAACCTTCCTATGTAACCAGCCTTCCACTGTTACAAGCCTGCCTTTGATACCAACCTGCCTTTGTTAGAACCCTACCTGGAAATTACAGACATTCTTTATTATTTCGAGTGTAGTGTTCTGATGTTGACAGTATGAGAACAACAGAAAGTTGAGAGGGAATAAGAACAGTAAATATTTTCTATTCTTTATTATTTGCAAGTAACCTGTTCTGTGACAAGTATCCTATTTTGTGGCATATTCCTTAAATTCCGTTTCCATAATATGTCTAAAATCACTAATAAAGTACCTGAAGGCAACCCTGGCATAAGTCTCCTATCTGACCTGCTCGAGATATGACAATTTGTGCCAAACCTTACTGTTGCTGGTATAAATACTCCATAAAATAAAATACCAGGCCTGTAAAAAGATTTGGACTGTGGTGGAAGGGGGTTAACTAAAAAGTATTTTCGATATGTTTGTTGATGAGATTTTTCCAATTTAAAGTAATAGATTTACAAACATAATAGTAAAACCGGAAAAATATCTTGAAGTATCAACGAGAAGAAATGCTTATAATCATATTCAGGGCTGTCTTTAATATTGCTTGGGCCCCCTAAACTCTGTCCCATCACCCCACTCCTTAGCATGCAATCATGCCCTTTACCCCAACGCAGAGGCGTAAGTAAAGTAAAGAGGGCCCTGGTGCAAGAATTTTGTTGGGCCCCTTTTTTGCAGAGGTGACCAAAAGGAAGATCCCCATCCGTTGTGCAACTCCAACACTGCTTTGACAACTGCGGCTCTAACATATTCCCATACTTACAGGGTTGTGTTTAGCACTGAGCAGTGTTTGTGTTTAAATGTAAGCAGGTTTTGTATTGAGTATGTTGTGTGAATGTTGGGGTGTGCTTGTATGGGATGCTGGCATTTGAATGCAAGCATGCATTTATGTGTAGTGATGGTTTTTTAATGCAGGGGTGTGTTTATAAATAATTTTGTTGTTTAACACAGAGGTGCGTTTATATGTAATTTTGACGTTTCAATGCAGGTATATGTTTGTTTGTAGTATTGAAGTTTGAATGCAGGGGTGTATTTGTGTGTAGTGTTGGGTTTGAATGCTGAGATCTATACACATACACTGCCATACACACTATGACACACACACACATACAGACAGGGCCGCTACCAGAAATTTTGGGGCCCCTAACTGAGCTCAGGGTCTGGGCCCCTGGGGGCCCGCCTCCAAAACCGCCCACAGAGACCGCCTCCAAATCCCGCCCACAGGAATACACACACAGACACAAACACATTCACTGATACAAAAGGACACAGATACAGACACACATACTGATACGCATATAGGCATACATACTGACATACACACATATACAGACACACAGGCGTACATAGTGACAGACACATATTAACATACATACAGACACACATACTGATATGCATATAGGCATACATACTGACACACATACTGAGACATACACACATATACAGACACCCAGGCGTACATAGTGACAGACACATACTAACATACATACAGACACACATGCATAAGGACATACAGACACATTCATAATTACATACAGACAGACATTCATACTGGCATACATACATTCATACAGACAGACAGACAGACATACACATTCATAATGACATGCAGACATACATACACTGACATTCATACACACATAATGACAATTATACAGGCATACAGACATGCATACAGACAAACAGACATACAGACATACAGACATACATTCATACTGGCATACTTACATTCATACAGACACTGAAGAGATGGATATTCAAATAAAAACAAACATATCAATAAGAAAAGGGAGGGGTCAGAGGTCAGTCACAAATCAGAGAGGAAATAGAGGAATGCATATAGGTGAATAAAACAATTACATACAGGGCTAGCAAAACTACACTTTAGCATAACAGACAAGATATAAAGGAATGCATATAGGTGAATAAAACAATTACATACAGGGCTAGCAAAACTACACTTTAGCATAACAGACAAGATATAAATACAAGAAAACAAGAAAATATACAGTGTACACAGGATATATTAAATAAAAATAAAATAAATGTACAAGGTGGTAAGTTAAAAATAAATGAAGGTGTGCAGGATAGAGTCTTAGTGTAGTCTTCCAGAAGGCTACCTTTGCAGACGATCCGGCTTGCTCACTGAAGGAATGGGCTTGCAAAGTTGGGGAATCAGGCTTTGCAGACAATCAGGCTTGCTCACTGAAGGAATGGGCTTGCAAAGTTGGGGAATCAGGCTTTGCAGACGATCAGGCTTGCTCACTGAAGGAATGGGCTTGCAAAGTTGGGGAATCAGGCTTTGCAGACGATCAGGCTTGCTCACTGAAGGAATGGGCTTGCAAAGTTTATATTATCACGTGTTACTATAGAATTGTTACCAATTATACCTGTAGTTTGCCATTGTAATTTTCTGTGCATACAGTTTTTATTATTGTCATTTAATGTTTCTGACCAATATTTCATGTACACCGTTATTAATATTTGGGGTGTTAGAATTTGGTTGCCAAACGTTTCATTTGTATACAACACATGGTCACTCTACCCTACCCCCACCCCCCTCTTTCCTTTGTGCCTCCTGGCTGTAAATACGTTGATACAACTGTTCCATCTCTGTTCTTCAGGCCTCATCTCACACTCACAGACCCAACAATACTGAAGCTATGCATTTTTTTCTCAGCTCAACCCACCCAGGTTCCCCCTAAATATATAGCATGCTCTTCCAGCTGTTTGAGATTCTCACTCAATTACCTCTTTACTCCCTTTATATTGTACCCTATTATATTGTAATAGCTGCAACTCTCTGTTAACTTATTTGACCAATCACTTCCAAATTTCCCCACTGTATCCTTTAGATTGTAAGCTCATGGGCTATCTAGCTAAGCACTTTGTATAAAAGAGCTTCGATGGCTAGATATCAGCTTACGGGCAGGGCTCTCTCAGCCTCTCGTATTTGTCTGTGTATATTGTTCATCCTCCACTAATTGTACAGCGCTGTGGAATTTGTTGGCGCTTTATATATACCAGTAATAAATAAATCAATGAATCTTCTTTATATGTATCATAGCTCCCAACTCCGATGTCCAGTGACTTGGGATACCCATGGGAGAAGAGAAAAGGAGGTGGGTCAGCAATGTGATTGCATCACTGGCCCTTCACAAAGGGGGCAGGCATATCCAGAAAGGCGGTTGATTCACCCAAATTACTGGCAGGTCAGCAAGGCTTACTACCAATCAAGTAAGCTAGCCTATTGATGGCTGATTCTGCCCTCTGCAGGGTCCTAGTGCCCTAAACATAGCGTAAGCATGCCTAATGATGTGCTCTTGCTGTGATTGTTGGGGACAGTTCCCTGGTTTCAGCAAAAGTGGGACACCAGAA